CACCTTACAATGAGGGATCAGAGGTCCAGAGACAGCGAACAAGCAACACACTAAAGGTCAAGTAGCTAGTAAGGGACAAAGTCAGCACACGTTTAGCTGACCTGGAAACCCACATGCTTTGTATTACAGGCACATACCCTATGAGAAGATTGTATTTTGTGACCTGCACTTAAGGTGTGGCTTTACAGGGCCCCAGGCAGAGACCAGGAAGTAGGGAAAGAGGAAGGGAGGAGAAAGTGTTGGTTCTGCCAAGAAAACCTGAAACTCACTACACACATTCAACCCAACTGGGGCCAAGGACAGAAGGCTGCAGGGGTGCCATGAGGAGGCAGCTCCAGGAGGAAGTCTGTAACTATATGTTGATGACTGTGTTGATTGACTTAATGAATGATTTAAGTAAACATCTAAGCAGAAGTAGCAATATTAAAAGAACTAGAGTGGTTAAAAGTACATACTTTGATGTTACTGCTTGGACGAGATATTTAAGCTCTCTGAGCCTCAGTTTCTTCATCTGCAAAATAGGAATATTTACTGCTAAGATGTTTGAGATGATTAAGTGGTGAATGCATGTAAAGTGACTGAGACAGTGCCAAGGGCAGCCAGAATACCTGCTCAATCCTTCGAGCCATTCTTATTACTATCACTGTCATTATCATTATTATTACTAAGAGGGATTTTGGCTCATTTATATAACAAGCCACTCCCCCCCACCCCCCCAACACCCCCCTCCTCTAGTGTGAGACTTTCATTCCCAAAGCTGTCCCTTACAGTCCTCTCCTAATTCATTTTCCTTCTTCAGGTAACCCTAGAGTTTACTTTCTCCTCCTTTTACGGGGAAGAAATGTCAGAGAGGGATTCACCTGAAACTCAAAACTCTCATTGTGAGCCTAAACCCCTGGGCTCCCTCCCAGGCCCCAGACACAGACACCTGGAGGGAGGGGGTCCCACGCCAACAAGGACACAGCACCCTGTGCTCTGGCAGGTGTCCATGGGGTGGAACTGCCAGGCTGGAGGCAGATAAGAACTATCTGCACATCCAGTGCACAGAGGCCCCAGGAAAGAATGCTACATCTGCATTGCTCTCTGTAGGAAGCTTTTCAGATTCTGTGCTCACAAAAGTGCACCTGAGTTTTTTAAATCTGCCATCATGGAACAAGCCCCAAAACTGAAATTTCAGAAGTATAGGGAAGAAAGGGAGTTTTTTATTTAATCTTAGATTCCCCTGCTCTGGAATATTTTTGCCTCTTAACTTTTAAAAGCAACAGAGTCCATCCTGGGATTCTCACCTGGAAAGAGGAGCAAAGTTGCAGGAAAACAGTTTTTTTTGTTTTCCCCTCAATGGGGAAACAGGTTTGGAAATGGTTTACAGAAAGCAACCTGTATCCACCTTGCCCTTCCACCTTCCCACCATGCCCCTGAGGGTCTCGCTTCTCTTACACCTGTGCAGAAATTGTGTTACATTTGAGAAAAATTCCATCCCTGGAGCAGCCACTTTGCTCTGCAGCCCATTTTCCGGCAACCTGTCCTGTGGTTTGTAGTTAAAAGTGACACTACCTGGAGCATTTCTAGTTACAAATCTTTCCAAAAATATTTCAGATGAGGGACGGGGATAAAGGAAATAGTATGAAGAGAAATGGATGGATTTGAGTAAGATTATCATTGGCCAAACACATCGGAACACCATGGAAACATGGCAAAGTTGTTGGCACCATGTCAAGAGCAGAGAAATAGAGAGAGAGGGACATCAGGTCCAAGCCAGGGACCAGTTTCCCAGTATTGCTTTGGCATTGGTGGCTGAAGTGGGAGGAGAAAGCCAGTGCACAGACATGCAAAGCAGGGCTCTGGTATAAAAGGGTGAGGTGCTTCTCTCCAGCACACCTCCCTGCTGCACTCTCCCCTCCAGTGGAGTCTGGCAGGTCTTTATCAGCCGTTGCCTTCTGCCACTAGGAAGCCACCGGGCGGGTAAGTATTCTCCTCACTTCTACTAATTGCTAACTGTTCATTGTTGGGACTTGTCTTCTGCGTCCTCTTTAAATTTTGCTCTTTCTCATACTTTTTTAGTGGCAGAATGGTGATTTGAACTCAGATGTGTTTGATTCCAGATTCTATGCTTGCTTTGTATTGTTCTTATTATTAACACATATTAATTGTCCAAATCAATGGGTTTCACTGCGACGTTTATATTCATGCATCTGTCATGCCTTGATCATGTCTACCTTTCCTTCTGCCCTCTCTTACCCTCCGCTCTCTCCTACTACTTTATTTTTTTAATAGAGAAATAAATCTTCAATTATCAAAACTTGAATAGAAGCAGTGAAGTCAGTGTTTTGGTAGACTAGGAAGCAATGCACCAAAGCCACAGGTCTTTTCCTAGAAGTTTAAAAGCAGTGTCTTTATTGGTGATTTCTGAAGCAAAGGGGAACCCTGAGCTGACACAGAAGCGCGTTTTCCACAAGAATTCATCTAAGGTGCAGAATAACCCTGACTTAACCCTATTAGGAGTTTCAGGTTGTGCTCTTGAAATAACTAAAGTTGGAGGCAGGGATTTATATGACTCAAAAGAAAAAAAGTGGGGTGCCAGAAATGTTCCTTCCCAAGTATGGATTTATGGGTTCTGGCGTGTGCTGTCAAGCTGAAGGGTGCATGCTTGTGTGCCCATCAGGAGAACCCATCAGTCGCAAACAAAGCCACGAATTTGGCAGCTTCCTGCAGCCCCACTTTCCTCCTAGGAGAGGTAGCTTCAGAGGAGGGAAGTTTTTAATCAGGAGGCTGGAACACCTGACAGTGTTTTCTTTGTTTCTGATTACAGTTTTAAAGAGAGCTGAGCACTTCTTGCCATTATAATCAGAAACTACCTAAAATAAAGATTATAGTAAATATCAAATAAATATCAATGCTGTAAGTCGTTTTATTATGATAGAGCATCAATGCTTAAATGCTTTCTTCTAAATCCAGATCCAAAACTTTATATTATTTTTGAAGTGCTACCTGAGGCATGGAAAATTGAAGACTTTCAGTCTCTTCAATTGTATAAATTTCTAACATATGCTGACAAATAGGGAGTTTCATTTGATATAATGAAACAAGGAATGTCAGTTGACCTGAAATCTTGATGTTGCTTGAGTTAGAATGCTGGGTACTGCCTCGTTTCACTAGTGATTTCAGCTATGAAAAAATTTTCCAACTCCTGCCAGAAAGCTTACCAGGTGCAGCTTCCAGAATATTCCTGGGATGTTAACTTCAGTCTCATTATAGCTGAGTTAGTGTGCAGGAGAAAAAGCATCACTTTGGGAGGGATGGGGAGATGTTTAAGAGAGTATCTGCTCCTGGAAAGATATAGGGTGAAGTTGGAGCTAGCAGAGCCCTTTCTTTGTTGAGTTCCAAGCCCAGCGTTATTTCAAGGTGCCCGTGAACAGCCTGCTGCATCCACTTCATCACTGGGCTCTGGTACCCACTGCAGGCCCCACGATTCAGAAGCTGCTCCCTTGTTGCCTTGGATAGAATCCTGGGTGACACTGAGGTGCCTGGTCCCAGGCTGTTTTACAACGAACAGGCCAGGCTCACCCACTGCAGAAGACAAACTCTGCCTGCTGCTTACTGGGTGAACTTGGATAGGCCCCTCTGAACCTGTTTTCTCTTCTAGAAAATGAAGGTTTGAACTATGTGGTCTCTCACTTCCTGCTAGCTCTCAAATTTTTCTCTCTTGGCTCAAAGAAAATACTGCTGTTGAACTCAAGGATGTGATTTCAGTGGTAGGAGACGAAAGGCACAGAGCAGGGAGATGGGGAGGCATCTATACTGAGAGAACCTGACTCTTCCTTTCCTTTTTTCTTTTATTCTGCTTTCTTTTTTTAAAAACCCAATATATGATGATATCCCTGCCATTAGTTTTGGTAATGTTGTTCTTTTTTCCTCTATTTTAATTGGCATATATGAATTGTACAAAGGGATTTTACTGTGGTATTCCAGACACATATAATATACTTTGGCTAAATTCATCTCTCTGTTACTCTTTCTTATTCCCTGTCCTCCTAATGTTGTTCTTTATCAAACAAAAATGCTCAAAATGCAACCCTCAGACACATCAGTTTGGTACATAACTAGCCAGCTAGCTTACCACAGACACAAACAAACACAAATTTTTCCTAAGACATGTCAAAAATATTTTTCATGATTGCAGACTTTTTGAGTCACCCCAGTAAAAGTTTTCAGATTTCAGACCAAGCTAATAGAAAAAAGTAAAAATTTTTAAAAAATGAAAAGGAGATAAATAAAGAAATATCACACATGTAACCATTCTGGAACTTCTGAAGAAAGAATGATATTCTTGGAGAAAATGGAAGGAAGGAAGGAAGGAAAAAGTTATTAAAACTTACCACGCTTGTTGAATTCAACTAAGAATTGTTTATTATTAGCAAAGTGACAATCAATATTTAAGTTTTATACAGACACAAGAAAAATGCCATTTACCAGTCTTTTAGAATGAAATTAAAGTGTGGATAGCATCATATTACAGAAACTAGAGCCCACGCCACACCTTCTCTTTCTCCCAATTGATAAAGAACAAAGCTACAACTTGCCTCAGTGTTGGTTCCCAACATGGAGCCCTAACAATTTGCATGAAATGTTTCAGAGCCTGAGGACCACCCTCTCCCTCAGGAGCAGGCTTCAGATGGTCCCTCTTCCTGCCAGTGGAGAAACAAAAGCAGCAGAACCAAATCTGTATTCGGTTCTGATTGACCACCTTTTCTAGCAAAATAAACGAATACTGCATTTCTGTAGTCAGCTCTTTTCTATTCTCTCTCCCACTGCAAGCTCTTTACTGATGGGCAAGTTAGCCTTCTGCATTAAAGGTTGGGGCAGGACCCATATTCCCTCACCAAGAGCCCACTGGACTGCCCCCTGTTCCCATCGGACCTTTCCTGTGCTCCTCAGGGCCAGGACTCGTCCTGCTGATTTACATCTTTTTGCCCTTTGTCATGTATGGAGAAAAAAGAAGGATGAATGGACAGTCTTTGCTTGGTGGAACTGGTGACGCTCGGCATGGTCCTCTTTGGATGGACCCTTTTGGAAATAAAGCTGGTGAGGCAGTGCAAGGAGGCTTCAAACGGCTAAGCTTGGCCCTGGTCCACGGGTGGCAAGAACAGGTACGCTTCCTTCTGGCAGCCTCTGTCTGGGTGAACCTGGGAGCCTGCTCCAGGCTTTGGCATGTCTTTTCTGAGCAGCACTGGGACATGGGAGATCAGCAAGTTCTGCTGAGTGTGGGGCTGTGGCCAGAGCCAGAAACGCAGGCATCATGCCCCCAGAAAGTTGCATGGCACTCCCTAGGCTTAGAGGCTGAACCTTTGGTTTAGGGAGTTTGGGCAGCCTTGGAAAAGCTAGGAAAATGTAGACTGCAGTTTGATGTTTCTCCTGCTGCTATTAGAGTTCCTTTTACTTTATTGTCCTCTTGTCAATTGAAATGTAATGGACCTTTTGGTAGGGATTATCTGTCCGTCTTCAGAGCCTTGTATATCACGTAGTGTGTGTAGATTCTTAAAGTTTCAGTAGGAAATGCAAATATCCTAGCATGAAAGTGAACTTCAACTTTAACTTCTTGATTTTTCCTAACCATTTCTCCTGCCTGAGTTCTAGAGTAGGTGTCAGGGCTCCAGAAGGATTCATTCAGAACAAAAGGTTCCTAAGGTCTCTGGAATTCAGCGACTGGCTGCTCAAGGCTGGAGAAGCCTGTCCCTAGGACATAATGTTCCCTACTGCATCCCAACATGTAGGCATCAGAGACACAAATCACAATAAGCCTGCTCTAGGTTGGGCTGTGGATTTGGACAAAAATAGTTTAGTGGCTCAGCAGGGGACTCAGGTCATTCAGGTTCTCAGTCATGTCCGGCCAGTTACATTATACAGCTTTGAATCCGTATCTCTAAGATCTCTAAGGTGATGGAGTATTTGAAACTCTCTCAAATAAATAAATGCTGGAAATTCTGAAGGCATGAATTTGTTTATTCTGGAATTTGTTTCTGCAATTGATGGAAAATGCCACTTTTACATTTTCCTGTGAGGCTGCCACTTTCAGGACCTCATACATTCAGCTACAGAAACTCAGGGCAGTACTATCTTTGAGCTTCTTGTCGTGGTCAGGGCTAAAGCCCATCCCTCTCAGGACTGGGTATTGCTTTGAAAATGGGTCACTGTCACTGAGGAACAGGCTTACTGTGCAACATTTTCAGTTATGAGATTTAAAGAGGGAGATATCTGAAAATAAGTGATTGCCATCACTTAGATTGTGAAAGAAAAGGCAGTTTTTCACAAATTCTTACTCTGTCTCACACCTAACTATGGAGCCAGCTGAGCACCATATGGACTGTTTGGATTGCTAGCCTCCAGCAGTTTTCAATATAAGAAATTCTTAATGCAAAGATTCATTGGGCCATGTGTGGTGGTCCACACCTGTAATCCCAGGACTTGGGAGGCACAGACAGAAGGATTGTGAATTTGAGGCCAACTGGGCTACATAGCTGGGCCCTGTCTCAAATCCTGCCTCCTATTTAAAAAATTATTCATTGGAAGTGTCCAACATGGTTTTGCCAAAATAGAATGACATTGGTGTAGAATATATCATATAAATAGCTCCCAGTTTGGGGAATGAGAAATGGCTTACCATTGTTTAAAAAGCAGGATGATTAGTTGGGCAGTGGAATAATATGACTAAAGTATATTTGTTACTCAGTAATAAATCAGTTACCAATGTTGATTTCTGTACTGGGCTTAATAGAAGCCAAATTTAGAGTTGGGATGCTTAAAAATAAAGACAACTTTATTATCTGTTAACAGCTATATGTTGGATATGGCAGAACTGTGATTGGGCCAAAAGTAGCCATGAGAACTCTATGATCACATCTTCACCACAGGAGGGACAGACTCACAGGAGGGACAGACTGGTTGATCTGCGTGGGCTTTGGGCATTTCCTTGGTCATGTCTTCTGTGGCTATGGCTTCAACACTCTATATTTATACCTTCCAGGGTCTAATGTCTTTGGGATTTCCCTGCTTCCGCTGACCTGGCTATGCTCTGGGCTTTTCTTGCACACTCAAGTGGTTTGGTTTGGTCATTGTCTTTCACCTACTACCTACCTCTGAGATTATGTCACTGGTATTCTATTGTATCTACCATCAACATTATGAAACAGTCATTTTTGTCTACAGGGTACCATATTCCAGTGACGTTGGTGCTCTCCTATCACATACTCGTCATGAGAGATAAATACAGGACACAACTTATGGTCGTATCATTCACATTTTCCCAAAGCAAAATTACTATAATTATGCCCTATACATTTTTACACCATGCAATCCATAGATTGCACGGTATAAACATTCAACTCTCTGTTTTTTAACAGTGTTGTCCAACTCAGCCTTTCCCAGTTTCAATACCTTTGTGAAACATTTTTCTTGCCTGTCTTTACACATTTAAATAACAAACTCCAAAAGTAAAGAATATCTGAGACAATTGCAGGATGGAAGGACAAATTTAACCAATCTTGGACATGGGGAGGGAGCATAAGAGGTTCTTAGGCTGTGTTGACACATACAAACTGCTTTAATTTTTTCCCTTTTAGAATCTTTAAGCAGGGATTTTGTAAAATAAAATTTTAATTTAAAAAGATTGTTTGTCTTACAAAAAAAACTGACCAGTCTGCATTAGGGAGCCTCAAGCACTTAATTTTAGCTCTTTATATTATTATTTAACTTGCTATGTTTACATTAACTGTCTTTCTTTCTTCTCAAGTAGACCAAGCTCCTTGAGTGCAGGTATTAGGGGTTCAATAAATGGTTGCTGAACTAGAAAGTGAACCTTATTTTATTGACCAGAACCTTCTCATGGTACCATTAAAGACATTGAAAATGAAGGTAGTGTGGGATTTGGGTTTGGGTAATAATGCCATAACAACATTTCAGGAGAGAAATGTTTCTTTCTTGGTCCCATGAGACATCATGGCCCAGATGAATGTCTTTAAATACATCTTCTGTGATGACTGTACCCAGACCCTAAACTGAACAACCTGGAGAGTTCTGTATTAGGGATATTCATGAATTCTGTCCTTCCTTCAAGGAGCCAGAGGAAGAGACAACTGCCATGGAGGACATTCCCACTATGGTTAAATTAGACCTAGGTGAAAACCAGGTTTCATCAGGTCGAGAAAGAAGGTGCATCCCCAAGGTGCTTGGCTATGTCACCGGTGACATGAGAGAATTTGCCAACTGGCTTAAAGGTATTTATGTACCCATTCCTTGGAGAAATGGGAGAAGTAGCTTTGGGGAAATGGTTTGTGGTACTTCTACTGATACCTTTGGTTATATTCCACAATCATTACGCTCCATTTTTCTACTTTTTATCTTCTGATTTGCAAACCTCATTTTATTCATGGGAATTGTGGTTAGGGCAGGGTTCTTTTCACAGTAGAGGAAAATGTCTGGCTCCATCCTGAGATTTCAGTATTTAAGAATGAATACTGAATTTTAGGGTGGAGATGTGGCTCAAGTGGTAGAGTGACTACCTAACAAATATGAAGCCCAGAGTTCAAACCCCAGTACCGACAAAAAAAAGGTTTGCTCAGCTAGTTGGGAGGTGGAAGCAGGAGAACCAAGAGTTCAAGGCCAGGCCAGGCAAAGTTAACAAGATCCTATTTTTAAATCAAATACAAATAAAAGGGCAGGGATTTTGACCCTAGTAGTAGAGCACTTGCCTAGCTTGCTTGAGGTCTTGGGTTTAATCCTCAGTACTACTAAAATAAAACAAATAAAACTAAAAATTTTACCTTTGGCAGTTCATTCTTTTGGCTTAACAGACTGTACCTCTGAGTATGGTGGATAAAAATGCATTAAGTGCTTTCTGAAGCTTATAGGGGCAGTATAGATGATTTCAGGGAACTGGGGTTCTTTAGGACAGAAGGTTCAAAGCGAAGAAGCTTCAAGGAATATCAAAACTGAGTTTCACCTCCAGGGGATTTTGATGATTTTGTTCAGGGTGGGTCCTGATGGAGTTGGACAGGAGCATTGTTCATCTTGTCACTTCCTTAGCTCTGCTTACCTCATCTTTTGCAGACAAACCTGTGGTGCTCCAGTTCATAGACTGGATTCTGCGGGGCATATCCCAAGTGGTATTCGTCAGCAACCCCATCAGTGGGATCCTGATTCTAATGGGACTTCTGATACAGAACCCCTGGTGGGCTCTTAATGGCTGTGTGGGAACCATAGTCTCTACTCTGATGGCCCTCTTGCTCAGCCAGGACAGGTAGGCACACTCCTCTATGCCAGTTCGCTCCCTTTCTGAAACACTAGCCTGCCAGCCAGGGCAGCAGTGATCAGCCACACCCTGCCCAAGAGAAACAACCTTTATTCCATAGGACTCTATTTGCCTTTAGTCAGAGGCCACAGAATCATTTATAGTCTCATCCTGACTAAGTGGCCAGGCTAAATAATGCCAAATTCTCATAGATGTACGTGGTAACCAGAACTAGGCTGCAAGTAATCACTGGAGAGGTTCTAATGAGATCTTCTATAATGATTGATAAAATTATGTATCAGCACTTTGGGCAAAAAAGCATGAGCTCATGAAAAGTCTTAATGACTTAATAAACCCTTTATGTCTTGTGTTCATTATTTATCAGACTCATTCTTCATAGACAATGCAAAAGTCAGCTTGGCTCCTGGAGTGATGAATAACCACAAATTCTAGGATTGTTCTGGGATTATGCTATACCAAATAGTCCTTCACTGTTCTGCTTCAATAAAACATGATCAATCCCATATCCTTGGCAGGTATTATTCAGATGTGTTAGTTTTCAGATCTCTTTTACTTTCCTGGGTCCTAAAAGACCATACTGAAACGGCAATTCTGATTCAAGTGACTGTATGTCTTCCCGGGGCTTTAACTCTGGCATTCCACAGCTTGTGGATGTTGCCATTCGTTTTCCACTGACCAAGTGCATGCCAGTTGTTGGGAAGACAAGCCTTTGTACTGCTCTCCACCATCATCATGGGCAGTCCCAATTTCTCGGTTATGCATGGGAGATTGCATTACCTCCCATGTTCCCTAAAGGATTATTTAAGGGAGACAAAGATCTTTGGAGTCCCACCTCTCATGTCTTCACCACAATGAACGTATGTAACATCATCTTGTCTGTTGCACTGGTACCGTTAGAAAAGGCCAAGAAGCTCTTACCCCAGCCCATGCCAGTGATTCCTGCAATGTAGCTCACTGGCTGCAGCCCCTCTACTCACGTCCTGCCTTCAACCTCACCCTCTCACTTCACCATCTTTTCCCCCTCCTGGTGCTCCCACAAACATGGCCTTGAGTACTGAGCACTTGGGAAATTGTCCCTGTGCCCTTCATAATACCAGACATTGCCAAGTCTCAAGGTCCTGGGGGAGGTGGGGCTGGCTTGTTGGCCTGGAGGCTTATTCTACAGAAATAATCCCATTTCTTTCTCAGGTTTTCTAGTTCCCAATTATGAAATCAGGACTGTTATGGCCAAAGAACAGACTTACTCATAAGACAATTTTTAGATCTGAGGATAAATAACGAGCAAAGAGGGGCTTCAAGAAAAAGTCAGGTGCTACACATGCACGTAATTAAATGGGGGTACTTTGCCAAGTAAAAGAAAGTAATTCTTTTCCTTTGCAGTAACATTAAAATGTGTATTTAGAGACAACATGAAAATGTATGCTAAGTTGGGACAACTTAGCAATGTATGCTAAGTGCCTTTAAGGACACTGTAAGAGAGAATTTCCATTTCAGGAATCTTACATCTTTCACCAAGGAATCAGACTTAGGAAACTGTTTCATATGCTGAAAGCTCTCTTTGTGTCAGAGGCCCTTAATGATTTAAAATAAATAATAAGAACTTTCTGCAGAAAAGGCTAAGGAAAGAGGAGTCGGTTGCCTTCCTGGTTTCCCTCTCCTTTCTCAGGTGCTGTAGACCTCTGTTCTTGGCTGTGACACCTGTGGAGGGAGGGCATTGTTTTATGTGCCCATTTGTAGTTTTATCTATGTATGTCTTACTTCATTTTTTATTGATATTCATAATATGCTTAATAGGCTTTGAATCACATGTCTAAATATAATTGTGTTTGCTAATATGAGTGTAATCTGGAAATCAAGTTCACCTGCATAATGTCTGCACTGTGTCTCTTGCCCACAGGTCAGAGATAGCAGCTGGGCTCCAGGGCTACAATGCCACCCTGGTGGGAATTCTCATAGCTGTCTTCTCAGACAAGGGCGATTATTTCTGGTGGCTGTTATTTCCTGTATCTGTCATGTCCATGACATGGTAAGTTGTACCTCGTTTTCAAAATGCCTTTTAAAAAAATTATGGAGGGAGGGGAGAATGAGGAGTTAGCATTTAATGAGTACAAGTTTCAGTTTGGTAAGATGAAAAGTGTCTGAATGGCAGTTGTACAACAATAGCAATGTATTGAGTGTTATTGAAAATAACACTTAAAATAACTTAAAATAACACTTAAAATAGTTAAATGGCAAATTTTATGTTATGTGGATTTTGTCACAGCTTTAAAAGATATTTTTAAAAATATGATTCAACGTGAGTCAAGGTATTCCTACAAGACACAGCAACAACCAATATTAAAAGGTGTCTATTTCTTTGCAACCAGTTATTTGGCCTTAATGTTGTGTGTCCACCAACACCTTCCCTCCATCCAGAGGTTCTCAGCCCCAACTGCACATTCAACACACTGATGCATGTGGCCCAGCCCTACACCTCACCCACACTCATCCCATCAAGATTCTGATGGAATTGTTCTGGCAACATGTGTTGCCTAGATGCTGACGTTTTAAAATTTCCCCAGGTGATTCTAAAGTCTACCCAAAGTTGATATCCACTCCCCACGCCAGTGGTTCTCAAACTTGAACACTATGAAAATCACCTCAAGGACTTACTAAAATACAGCTGGTTAGTCTCCTTCCCCAGAGTTTCTCATTCAGTCTGTTTGGGGTGGGGCCTGAGAATTTGTATTTCTGATAAGTTCCTGGGTAATGCTGAAGTAGCTAGTCCAGGACCCCACTTTAAGAACCACCATGCATTAATGAACTCTTCTTACCCGTCTTTGGACTTACTAGGCAACCACTTCTACCAGTGAGCCATACTCTAGCTCCCAATTTATTTTTTAATGGAATTCAATCCCTTTAAAAAAACCTGAATCCTTCAAACTAATTTCTGTGTTAATATCATCTTAAATCCTTTTTCTAGAAGCCAGCATTTTCATCTTTAGAATATATTTATCTATATCATATTTAGAATATAAAATACTAATATGCACACAAGTGAAAAATATGGTCCACTATAGACAGTGTCTGCTGGAGGGCTCCCACCTTAGTTGCATCCACACAGGTGTTTGGAGGACTTGTCAACATCATCCCCAGGAGGTAACTTGGGACCTGCTCTGAAGAACAGGCTCAAAGGCAAGAATCATAGGCAGAGAAAGTTCACCACACCTCCCACAACCCAGGAAATCTGTTCTAATCTTAAAATGATGGATTAGTGATTGGGTCAGCAAGTGAGAGCAACACAAGGGGCCCAGGGACAGTTTAGTTTGCAGACTAGGAAATGAGAACAGTGTCTTGCCTAGTCACAGAGTTTATCAACATCTCAAGGATATAAACTCTACCCACTGACTGTAAGATCCTTTTCTTCCAACACACATCACCTGCATCCTTCCTTGAACAATAATCTCTTTTACAGAATTAAATATGTATATGAAAGACATGGGAAACCATATATACCAAATTCAGAATCGTGGTTACTTCTGGTAGGGGAGGAAGGGGCACACAAACAGTGCTACAGAGCACCTTAACTATGTCGATATTTTATCAGGTCCTTCAAAAATGTTTTCAAATTCTTTATACATAACTCACTCTGAGCAACACCAGAGTTTACAGATGAAGCAAAGCGCCTCCATGATGTAGCCATGCGCTTGGTCAACACGCCTTGTCAGCACACTCAGATTTTTCTGTTTCTTTTCAGCCCAATTTTCTCAAGTGCACTGAGCTCCGTGCTCAGCAAGTGGGACCTCCCTGTCTTCACTCTTCCTTTCAACATGGCACTGTCAATGTACCTTTTGGCCACGGGACATTACAATCCGTTCTTCCCAAGCAAACTCGTCACACCTGTTACCTCCATTCCCAATATCACCTGGTCTGAACTCAATGCCCTGGAGGTAAGATATGCTATTTTCTCACATTCCTCTGCCTCTGGAAGGTACCCGTGTCCTTTTGGTTAATTACCCATAGGTATGACAGCCTTCTAAATACTCAGCTCTCCAGTGGCCTTTCTGCTTTGTCTTGTCATTCTTGTCTTCTCCAAAGCTTTAAGCCTAAAAAGACTTTTTAAAAATGACTATTTGGTCAAAGCTCCTCCTTTTTTTTTTTCTTAAAAATCTGCAATGCCAAATACAGAAGATAGCTTTGTTGGTTTGCATGTATTTTTGTATTTGTGTATTTTTGTGTTTTGAGGTCACTCCTAAAGTGTTAACACCTCAAGTGTTAATAACTAGAACAAGCTGAAGATATCTTGGTTTAAATTAATACATGTAGGGCAGTTGGAGAAGAGGGAGATTAGTGGAGAGGATGAACCAAGCCAGAGTACAATATATGTGTATAGGTAAATGTCACAATGAAATCCCCTGTATAACTATTGTATACTAATACAAACATTTAAGAAGATAAATAAAAATGAGTTAATACATGTTGTAGTTAGTATCTGAAGGGTAAATATGGTTCTGATTTACAAAGTTGCCTATAATTGCTTCTAAATTGTGATTGAGATAACCCAGCTTTGGGTCTCTGGCTTAAGTACAAGCAGTCAAATTGCACATTAGTTGTATTCGTAGTGGACATGGGGCCCATTGAGTAATTGCTGTCAGCACTGATGGGCAGTAAGAAGCAAAAGGAGTAAGATCTGTAGTCCCTGCCATCTTCAGTGGAAGGCATGACAAGTCCTCATAGCCAGGGGCAGTGACACCACAGTGGGAGCCTCACAGTGACCAAGGCCAAGGGTCAGGCAAATGGAAGAGTCATTGAGTACAGGAAGTTTGGCAAAGACATGCTCAGTGTGCACTTAGGAAGAGCTGTTATACCTGGGAATAAAGCTGAAGAGGGGCACAGGTTTTTCTGTATTAAAGAGAATTATAAAAACACTGATTTTTGAAAGATAAAGTATCTAAAATTATATTATATGTATTTGTGAACGTCCTGTGGGTTTCTGTTCAGTTGGCTTAGTAGCCATTTTTGGTTTTTTGAGACAAGGCTCAATATGTATACCAGGCTAGACTTGAACTGCCTTAACCTCTCATGTGCTAGGATTACAGGAGTGCTCTACCATACCCAGCAGCAGTCTCATGTTGTACTTGCTTTTGCAGCTATTGAAGTCCCTGCCAGTGGGGGTCAGCCAGATATATGGCTGTGATAGCCCATGGACAGGGGCCATTTTTCTGTGTGCCATCCTGCTGTCCTCCCCACTCATGTGCCTACATGCCGCCATTGGCTCATTGCTGGGAGTAATAGCAGGTAAGCATAAGATTCATTACCAATTACTGAGCACCTCCTCCATCCCATGTAGAGTCTCTGGCATCTTCTGTGCTCCAGACCTTTCTTGAAGTCTCTGCTTCTAGGGATCAATGGGAGCTCTTAGGATACTTCCACTGACCCCACAACCTCACCCCAGACACATTTTGGAGCATCCTGTCTTTTGTCCAAAGCTCTGATCACTCCTGCCTTACCCAACAGGACTCAGTCTTGCATCTCCATTTAAGGACATCTACTCTGGACTCTGGGGTTTCAACAGTTCTCTGGCCTGCATTGCGATTGGAGGGATGTTTGTAGCGCTCACCTGGCAAGCCCACCTCCTAGCTCTCGCTTGTGGTGAGTATTCCATGCATGGAATTGGGGTAGATTTGTCATGACAATGGGATCAAAATCAAGGATAAGCAGTTTAAAAAAAAAAAAGGTCTACATGAGAAATTAAAGCTGGAATCCTGGTTTGAATTTACCTGCTAGCTAAGTGTGTGAGCAGGGCAAGTGATGGTCCCCTCTCTAAGAGCATTAAAGTCACCTTTGCCTACCTTCCTGGTTATCATGAAGATGGGAACCCATTCAGTCCTTTGAACCATTCTATATTATGTATATTTTGGGGGATAGACACTTAATTTGTTCTGTCTTCTTTATATTTTGGACCACTCCCCCCAAAAAACTAAAAGAAAATAACTCAAGCTAAGTATAGCGCACTGTTTCTTGATGAACCCAATAAGATTTCATGTGACCCTTTGAGAATCACATTAATCCAGCTGTTCTCAAATGGAGCCTGCATCAGAACCACCTGGAACGCTTGTTAAAACTGATCACTGGACCTCATGCTCAGTTCAAGACAGTGTTAGAGGTGGAAGGGAGGAATTTGCTTCTCTAACAAGTTCTCCAGTCAGGTTAATACTGCTGGCCTGATTTATTAATCCTTTATGATCCCCAGCATTCTAACCAGACCCACCTACAGAGCTAGAGGGATCCGGGAGACCTCCAGTCCATCTTTCTCACTTTTCTGTTGAGGTCCTGAGGCGAAGGAGGTTAGGGAAGTGATACAGGACATCTTGACTGGATTTTCTAGTAGTAAATCCAAACCCAGAAGTGACCGTCACCAACAACCTCCAGAATTACTCCATTACTCTAGGCTGCTTCCCTGTTGGCAACCCCTTAGGTTAAAGCAAACCTCAAGAGATTTAGATCTGAAGAGCTAGTGGATTCCTCAAGTTGATTATAAAGGGAAGATATTCACCCATTGCCTCTGGTGAATTATTTTAAGCACTTAATGTTCTAGAGTGGAGGGAGTGACACCCTCTTGGGGACAAAAAGGTAAAGCGATAGTGGAATGTGGACAAATTATTTCTAATCTTATCACCAGACACTTCTTTTTTTTTTTTTATTCATATGTGCATACAAGGCTTGGTTCATTTCTCCCCCCTGCCCCCACCCCCTCCCTTACCACCCAGTCCGCCCCCTCCCTCTGCCCCCCCAATACCCAGCAGAAACTATTTTGCCCTTATTTCTAATTTTGTTGTAGAGAGAGTAATCACCAGACACTTCAATCTCAGATATCTAAGTAGTCATTAAAATGGTGGACTACGTGTCAGGTGGGATTTAGAGTGGAATTCCTGCCCTGGCAGGAAGTGAGATAAGACCAAGGGTTTGGAAGGCCCATTCAGTTTTGACTTACACTGTAGCAAGACTACCAGAATTGGGGTTGCTGTGTGTGGTCATTTAGATGTCATTTTGTCTGTTTCTTTGCCATTACCCAGCTGATAACTCTGTCACAATTTTTTTGCTTGCCGTCTATATTTGTTCACAAGCTCGGGTAAAGGAGTCAAGGCATAGTCTATGGCCACCTGAGCAAGCAAGTGCTCATCCTCTAGCCTTCCAGCTTTATTCTGAGATTGCTTTCAAACCTTTATTTGGAGTACACACCTTTATTTTTCTGTATAGGCAGTAATGCATTCGATGGATCCAGCATTCATGATACAACCTATATAGTGCTAAAGAGCGTTGAGGGGCTTTGCAGTCTTAGGTCCCATGTGGTTTCTGAGCACGGACAGCATTAGAGTGGAAGGCAGAGGCCAGCTCAGTAATGGAAGGAGACTGAGGGAGACGTTTATAGGACGGGATCCTCTGGGAGAAGGTTAGAGTTGGAATGATCAGAAGTGCTACCTGAAAAGGGTGGATTTTCTGAAGTCCTAAAACATGAGAGGAGTTCTGCTATTATTTTATTTTTATATTTTTGGGTGGTACTGGAGTTTGAATTCATGGCCTCATGTTTGCTAGGCAGGCACTCTACCACTTGAGCCACTCCACCAGTGAGAGGAGTTCTGTTTAGTGAAAAGGGTAGTGCAGGCCAGTATGGGGACAGCCTGAGCTCAGCCTTCAAGGTCAAGCAGAAACTGTTGTGGTCACAGGAGAGGTTGATGAGCTTTTGGAAGGCTATGGAGAGGGATAAAGCCAAACACATTTGCAGATGTGTTCCCCCAAAGTAGGACTATCTTTGTTGTTTTCTTTATTATGGAAATAGTACAGTCTTACTGGACGAGTTCAATCAGCATAAAAAACATAAGGTAAAAAGCAAAAATACTTCATCCTACTCCCTTGGCACAACTTTTTACTTCCTTTTTATACAAACTCTTGTGATTACTTTGGGTCCAGTCACATGGCCCTTGATAATCTTCCCATTTTAAGATCTTTAACTTATTCACAGTTGAAAAGTCCCTTTTGTCACATGAAATAATATAATCACAGGTTTTGGGGATTAGGCTGCAGACATCTTTGGGGGCCATTTTTCTGTCTACCACACATAACCCATCTTTGAATAAGACCCAATGTAGTGCCTCGTGCCTGTCATCCTAGCACTTAGGAGACTGAGGTAGGAGGATTGTGAGTTTGAGGCCAGCCTAGCAAGACCCTGCCTCAAAAAACAACAACAACAAAAATAAAGAGCCTAGACCCTGGTACCAGACTATCTGGAATAAATCTCAGCTGTGCTTTGTAAACTTAAGCAAACTACTTAACCTTTCTGTGCTAGGTTTCCCATTTGAAAAACATGGGAGTTACGTACCTGCCTCACAAAACTGTTCTGAGGATTAAATTAATAAAGCACCTGAAGCATAAGTTAGTCTTTAGCACTTTGCACTATTTAAGGGTTTGGAAAAAGTTTTTTTCTGGTGGCTTTGCATAACTTACTAAGAATCAAGTTTGTTTATTATTCTCTTTCAGTTTTTTAAGTTTACAAATACCTTTTTGCTCCCCTCAAATATAAATGATATCTTAGCTTCTTTTACCTTCTCTGAGAGGTCTATCTCCTAACAGCTACTGAAACCATGTTGATAATTGTGTAGGATTTTTCACTTTGAATTTGTCAAGGGTATGTATTTTTATACTTCCTTCTTTAGAAAACTATAAACTTTACTACATTGTGTACTTATTCCTGTCCCCCCATAGCTTGTACTGTCCCCCTGTACTTAAGTGTCTTCTTGCTGGATTACTTCTTGAGAGAAGATTTTATGGGGGAGGCCTTCTAAGACCCTGTATGCCTAAAAACATCTTCATTTTGCCTTTATTTAAATTTTAGTTTAGCTAACTGAAAAGCCTTAGATTTAACTTTTTTCTCTCAATGCTTTGAAAATTGTCTTCAAAGACTATTGTTGTCTTATAACAAAAATTGTTATTAAGATATCTGAGAAGACTCTAATTCTTGTTATAGGCAATTTTAGTTTTCTCAGAATTTTCTTTTTGGCACTACTGGGATTGAACTCAGGGCCTCACACTTGCCAGGCAGGCACTCGTACTTGCTGGAGCCACTCTGCCAGCCCTCCAAATTTTCTCTGTGCACATGAGTTATTTTTTTCCTGTTGTCTATCTAGATGTAGGTTTGTTCTTTTTCTTTTTCTTCCTTTCTTTCTTTTTCTTCTTCTTTTTTTTTCTCTTGATGACACTGGGATTTGAATAGGCAGGTGCTCTATCGCTAGGGCCATGCCTCAAGCCCTCGTTCCTTTTCTGTGCTTTAAAGTACTCAAGTCTTTTGAGTGTGAGCCCTCGTCTTCCTTTAATTTGGGATATTAGCTGTTTTAATTTTTCAAATCTTTTTTCTCCATTTATTGTTCCTTCTCTTCCTGGGATTCTTCTGATTTGAATACAATACTTGTATACAGACTTTTTATCAGTTTTACTCTTTCTTAATAGTTTCCATTTTGTTTCCCCTTCCCAAGAACTTCAGTTTAGGTAATCAGCCTATGTTTCTTTGGCTCTATCCATTGTGCTGATCATTGTGAGTTCTTCACTCAAGAAGTGAAGCTTATTAATTAAGCTTCATCAGCTGGACGTTGTTCCGTTTGTGTCTTTCTTTCACAGCATTTGCCCACCTTGGGTCCCCTTGCCTTGCCTTGAGAGCTTGTTTCCCTAGGAATAGCAGCTGTTTGGATGGCGAGTCTCTGAGTGGGGAGTGGAAGCCAGAGTGAACTCACCTCTCTGAGTCAGGAGAAGGGGTTGTACCTCGCAGGGTGCCAAGCCCTACTGTTTGAGGCAGTAGAGATAGCCCCTCTGCAGCTACCTCATAAGATAATCACCCTTTTGTTAAGAAAAATTACATGACTTCTACTTTGGAGCCATTTCAAACACTGCTGCAAGGGACATTTTTGGCACAAATATTCTTATGCCCTTTGCACAAGTATTCTGTAACATGTATCCTAATTGGTGTCTCAAATGAAATGCCAATTTTAATTTCCATGGATGCCAAATTCATAACCCAAAGGGCCCTATCCATTTCCAATGCTGCCAACAGCGTGGAAGAGCACCTTTCTGTCCTCTGGGTCCTACCAGACTTTGTAATCTCTGCACATGAATTTTTGAGACAGACCTCCAGTTCCTCCTGCACAGCAAGTCTCCCATGTAAAATACCACAGCAAGTTTCTACTTGTCCATATCACCCCAACACTGACAAACAAAAGGCCAACCTTGTCTGCTAAGGTAAATAAGTAACAGACATTGACTTTATTTATTCATTCCAAATGTCTATCAGGAAGACGGCTTAGGAAACTCTGATGGTACCTGGCAGAGCTACCTTCCCAGCCTCTAGATCAGAGCCTGAATGGCCAAGAAATGTCCTGATCTGTTTTGTTATCAGTGGAAACTGTGAACACATTTTGTATCTCTTTTCAATGGCTAGATTATCACAGTAGGACTCATGCATGACAGTCCATTGGAAGGGACATTGTCCATAAAGACAGTCTACCAGTGAGGTTCATGGGCCTTTTCTCTTTATCTCCTTTCAAGCATGCTGTCAGGGAAGTACCTCACATCAACCATCCTGTGCAGAAGTTCTCCTCTGATGTAAGGATTCCCCAGTCCTGCTCAGAGAGTCATCCACCTTTTAATAGTCTGACACTCTCACTGTGGAGAGAAAAGCAACTTAGACTTGGAGATCACTCCAAAACAGCATAACAGAATGAAATAGAAGAAAGCCAAAAGTGTCTTAGAAGTGCAATGGGCATTTAAAGAAGAGAAGTGGCAAAAGGTCTTGTGAGCTCAGGGAAGTGTAGTGGTGGGACTGGTACTCAGGAGAGCAGGGCAGAGTGTGGCTGGCACTTAGCAGAGAGCCAGGGAATAGTTGAATGAATGAGGTAGATCTTAAAAATGAATGAAATAAAAAATGGAAATCCTTTCAACCCTAGCCATTAGCACCCTTCTGTTCAGAGTGGTGTCCCAATCCCATGGTGAAAGGGATGAGTTCATAGTTGCTGTTTGCAGAAATAGCCACTTTCATTTGAGACTCATTACTTCTCTCTTAAGCAGATCTTTGAGTTCCAGATGGCAAAATCACACCGAGGAACTCGTTGATTTGCTGTACAACATATAAAATGGCAGAGCTGGGATTTGAAACCAGCACTTCCCACTAGCATGAGACAACTCAGATATGAAAGAATTCATTATACTATTGAAACACCAGGAAAAAGGCAAAATATTGATAAAAGAATAAGTCTACAGTAAAGTAAATGATGATCACAGAGGCCCTCCTGCCATTTCCTGCCACATCCTATGTCCCAAGATAGTTAGTGTGATGTTTTTGGTGAATGTGTCTGACAGTGTGCCTCAGTGGCACACTGGCACAGGGTGACTGTGTGGTCATTTATAGAAAGGTCATTCTCAGACTGCTCCTGCAAAACCTAGGGGCTTCCCTGGGCCTCCTCTTCAACCAAAACTGAGTAATTGATGTTATTAGCTAGTTGAAATCTTTATTCTATTGTTTTACATGAGAAATCACATCTATACTCAAATTACCCAGTCCACAATTTGTTTGCTTAAAGTAAATAAAAATATTGGATGTTTATTCATTGACCTGTATGCCAACTTTAATGGTATTTGGAAAAAATGTTATCATGAGGAGGAATCTTTATATTCAGTTTCTGCTGATCAAAGAGATGTTACCTTCTTATTTTTATATGCTGTAGTTTTTGTAGCTATAAATTCTAACCATCAATGTGAGAATCCTAGGTACAATGAGACTATATGGAAACCAGGCTATCTCCAGATACATCTATAATTTCATTTAAGTTCAACTATGCTTGGATAAAGGAAGAGGGGGAGTGTTTTGTCATGGAAGGCTTTTCCTTTAAATATTAGCTATAACAACAACACTGTACCACAAAACTACTTTATTGATCACTTACCATGTGCTAAATGTAAGCAGCATTTCCATTCATGTTCATACCAGCTCTGGGAGAGAGATAATCACTTCCATTGTGCAAGTGAGCAAACTGAGGCTTAGAGTACAGTCAAAGAGCTCTTAAGCAATGGAGGCAGGATTTGTACACAGAGCTACTGTCTCTATACTTATACAGGTAACCGGGGTGTTGGGAAGTAGAAGTGTACATTCCAGGGGATTGACATTGCAAGGCAGTCTTTTCTATGATTACAAATTCATCTAATCCTAACTACTTGGGAGGCCAAGATCAAGAGGACCTTGGTTTGAAAATAACCCAGGCAAATAGCTCATGAGACCCACCCCCCACACACACACACATACCTCCACAATAACCAGAGAAAAATGAACTGGAAGTGTGGCTCAAGTTGTAGAGTGACTGCTTTGCAAGTACAAAACCCTAAGTTGAAACCCTAGTCCCACCAAAAAAAAATTCATCTATACTCAGGAACTGTGGTACATGCCTGTAATCTCGGCACTTTTGCTGAGGCAAAAGCATCAAGAGCTCAAGGCCAGCCTGGGCTATATAGCAAGACCTTGCCTCAAAAAGAAAAAGTACATTAACAAGTATTGTCCTTCCCCTACTTTTTTGTAGCCCTGTTCACTGCCTACTTTGGAGCCAGCATGACACACCTAATGGCTTGGGTAAGTTTGATTCCATTTATCATCAACATGATTGATCAGCTGTCAGTGATGAAAACCCTCCCAAAGGCCACCTGGGCAGTATCCAGTTGGTGACCATGGTCACCAACTCTCCCCCTTCTGCTGGGCTCTCTGGCCCCTCTCACCTTTTAACATCACAGTAAACTTGAGTACAAACTGCAATCACCAGGCTTATTACAAATACTAGATTGCTTGGTTTAAGGAATAACTTTATCAATACTTTTATCAATAACTTGATAACATATTAGCAAGTTCATAGTCTAACACTGAGTGTCAAGAAGTTGACTTTAGAGTGTCTTTTACTTTGATGTAGGAGCACTTGATTTCTAGTATGTTTTATATAGTACATAGCTGCAAAATAGCTACATTTTGTAGCAGTTCAAGACCAAAGTTGCTAGCATTGTTTTGCTATCACTCCAGTTAATATTTAGAGTCCCATTAGATGTAATTGCACAGAGAACATCAAATACAGAGGAAACAGTTAGATACATAGCAAAAGAAAAATGTTCTACCTGTAGGCTTATCCACTGTGGATCCTGGCTGGACCTCTTTGGGGTTTCAGACCTTGGCTGCCTATCTCCTGGCATTTGCTAACTGTCCCTGTTCACTACCATTCCTTTATTGGTTGTTTGTTTCAGAAACAATTGTGCTTCAAAAATACAAAAAAAAAGGGAAAGAATAATCACTAGAAGAAATAATCGTTTTGATGTTTTTATATGGTATTCTGGGTTTCTGTATGCATGTGTATATTTTTTAGTTTTTTTATAAAAAATGAAGTCATCTTCTACCTACTCCTTCCAGTCAGCTTCTTTCATAGCATGTTGTTTTTCTGTGCCATTAAATAATTATTCCATTTTAAAAGAACACCTTTTACTTAAACCCAAAGCCCAGACTACATAGTAGTTGAGATCAGGAAAGGGAGGAAAGGGTAATTGACTAAAAGACCCAGAAGCTGGTATTTTAGATCTAGTCAATAAAGATGTCTTGTGTTTATAAAATCTCCAATAATCTATAAGACTTCTCAGCCCCAGGTCCTGACTAAATTATTAATAGGCAAAATCATAGCCATTAAATTTCTCCTTCCTTTGCAGTATTGTTCTCTGTCCTTTGATCTCCTGCCCCTCCCCCAGGGAACCCAATAACCCCTGGATTGGTCCAGGACCCTCCACTTCGCAATGCCTAAACTTTTTTCTCTTCCTCGCCCACCATTGCAAATGATGCAGGGCCAGTTGTAATAACTCAGTTCATGCTCCTAATGGGTCAAGACAGCAGCTCATAGAAATTTTGTTTGGGAAAGTCCTTAGGGAAATACAGCACCTTTGTAGTGGGGAGCCAAGGGGAATACATCAGAGCATTGCAGAGTCCTTCACATACTAAGAAAGAAAATGCATAGCATCAGTCCATGGGACAGAATTGAACAATTTGCACAATAGAGTTGGCTAGAGACATTTTGAAAAATAGATCCTTGGGTCTTGTCCCTTGCTTTGCTGAGAAGAGTGGATCTTGTTAAGCTTTTGTTGTAACTCATCCAGATGATTCTAATGTGCAATCAGGTTTGAGTACCCCTATATTCTATCATACCCCATGGAGTGCATGCACAGGACCAGAGTAAGTCAATAGGGTAGGCTCAAGATTTTGTGTGTTGCCACAGACAGTACAGAAGAAGGACCTACCCTTGAGGTCAAGTAAACAAAATGAGAAGAAGTGAAGTAAACAGAGTTCAATACCTAGACTGGGAACAAGTCAAGATCGGTCAGAACACCATAAGATTGACTAATTACAGAACGCCTTGGGGACTTGATAAGTGGTCAGGAGCCATCAGCAATTTTTTTTTCTTTTATTATTCATATGTGCATACAAGGCTTGGTTCATTTCTCCCCCCTGCCCCCACCCCCTCCCTTACCACCCACTCCGCCCCCTCCCTCTCAATACCCAGCAGAAACTATTTTGCCCTTATTTCTAATTTTGTCGTAGAGAGAGTATAAGCAAATAATAGGAAGGAACAAGGGTTTTTGCTGGTTGAGATAAGGATAGCTATACAGGGCATTGACTTACATTGATTTCCTGTGCGTGGGTGTTACCTTCTAGGTTAATTCTTTTTGATCTAACCTTTTCTCTAGTACCTGTTCCCCTTTTCCTATTGGCCTCAGTTGCTTTAAGGTATCTGCTTTAGTTTCTCTGCGTTAAGGGCAACAAATGCTAGCTAATTTTTTAGGTGTCTTACCTATCCTCACCCGTCCCTTGTGTGCTCTCGCTTTTATCATGTGCTCAAAGTCGAATCCCATTGTTGTGTTTGCCCTTGATCTAATGTCCACATATGAGGGAGAACATACGATTTTTGGTCTTTTGAGCCAGGCTAACCTCACTCAGAATGATGTTCTCCAATTCCATCCATTTACCAGCGAATGATAACATTTCGTTCTTCTTCATGGCTGCATAAAATTCCATTGTGTATAGATACCACATTTTCTTAATCCATTCGTCAGTGCTGGGGCATCTTGGCTGTTTCCATAACTTGGCTATCATCAGCAATTTTCTAAGTGTCATCTCTGGGTGCCAAGTGTCACCCTTGCACATCCAATGTAGAAAATCTGAATGTATGAGGAGGGGGAAAGATACAAAATAGAGACATACTGACCACTGTAAAGAACGGATGAAAATATTTCAACTGCTAAATACTCTGAGATCTTAGACTGGGACTCTGAGGATAAGCAGAGTCGGAGGAATGCCCCCAGTAACTCATCCTCCATAGGTGAAAGTTCAAAATGCGCTGTGCACACTAGATTCCAAATGGGTTTCAAATTATACGTGACTTGTCTGTTCTTCCCCAGGTCCAATTGCCATCTTGTACCTGGCCTTTCTGTTTGGCTACACTACTGTTCCTATTGCTGACCACGAAAAACTCCAACATCTACAGGGTGCCCCTCAGCAAAGTCACTTATCCTGAAGAGAATCGCATCTTCTACCTCCACACCAAGAAAAGAATGGATGAAAGCCCTCTGTAAGAGCAGCTCCATCCACAGCCATGGTCACAGGTCATTTCAAACTACAGCTCCAGTTGACTTCAGGAACTCAGCAGCTGTTTTTCTTCAAACTTTCATACTAACTACCAGCAATCTTTTCTTTTGCTCATTTCCTATTTTCTTTTTGACTCCAGGAATATTCTCAAGCATATGAAAGCCACATCCAGGTGATGTGCTCTGGTATAGAATTTTAGACCCCATTAGGGAATGGCGCTAAGACTGTAATGTATTTATAAAGCCAAAATACTCCAACAGCAAGAGGAAATGAAAGCAGACTCATGCTGATATTTATTGATATTCCAGTCATCCAGAAATCTCAGATGTGCTGTTTGTCTTTTAAAAATCAATGTAGGTTACACATTGACGCTATGGTCAACATGGCAGAGGTGTAGGGTGACCACAGGGCTGGTCCCCCATCAGAATGGCCTCCTTGCTGTCTAGCACACGCTTTTGTGTGTGTGTGTGTGTGTGTGTGTGTGTGTGTGTGTGTGTGCAATGTTCTCTTATGGGGGAGATGACTGGGCTTTCTCTGGCAGGCAGAGCTGCAGGAAGAAGAAAGGGATTTTTTTCTCTCAAAATTAGTCTGCATTGCCACTTTTCTTGGAAATTGCAATGGCTTTTTTTTAGGTAGGGTGTATTACTTTTTCTTATGAGAAAAGATTTGTTTACAGTGAGATAAGAAAAGTTCCTAGCTTAACCAGTTCATGGACATTAAAGAAAATTTACATATTTTTTAAATACTCAGCATAGTTATTTTGACTTTAATCCCTATGTTGACCTTACAAATGCAATCAATACATAGAATCATCATCAGCCTCCAGAACCATTTAAAGTCACATTTTTCATTAACTCAAGATTGTCTGATAAGGACTGGCACTTAAAGTCACATTGCTCAAAGTTACTATTTTTAGAAGTTGTTGAATTTCTTTTTGAAAAAAAACTCATTGTTTTCTGCACATTCACAATATTGTCTCTAAGAAACAAATGGTACTGGCACCACCAGAAAGAAATACCAGAAAGGAATTCTCCAGTTTTCCTTTTTTTTTAATTTAAAAGTTGTGATTTCTGTATCGGTTCTATGGCCAAACGTGCTGAAGAAGGAAGTGCAAAGTTATGCTGACTTCCACTTCAATCCATTTCACTTTAGTATTCTGGAGGTTGGAAAAGTAAAACATTAAAGTCCTAAAGGTATTTTCCTGCTGGACGTTGTGCAAACATGTAATCCCAGTGCTTGGGAAGCAGAGGCAGAAGGCTGGTAGTTTGAGGCCAGTCTGAGCTACATAGAAACACTCTGTCTCAAAACAAAATGGGGTAGGGTGGAGGGGGGAGAGCGATTGAGAGAGAAAGAGAGAGGAAGAAGGAAGAAGAACCCAGGAGGAGGGAAGGAATGAAAGAAGGAAGGAAGGAAGGAAGGAAGGAAGGAAGGAAGGAAGGAAGGAAGGAAGGAAGGAAGGAAGGAAGGAAGGAAGGAAGGAAAGGACTTTTTCATGTTTCAGTGTACAATATGCAGTTTGTTGAATAGATGAACAGAAGAAGGGCCATATGTAAACCTATAAATACTTTAAGGAGAAGTTGCTTCTTTCTTTTCTCAGGAAAACAAGCAAGCACCGTTCCAAATTTAAAACCTGTAACCAAAGTCTTTTGAATCCAGGAATTTGCAACTGTCGTAGATTCAAGAGCATTCCTACAGAAAAACTGAATTTTCAGTGTTAGAAATCTTTCCTGCTAGGGAATTTGTGAAGTAAGAGTTGGGAGAAACAAAAAGGCAAGCATAACCAAAGATCCCCGGAAGTAAAGAATCTGAACCACAGCCGAGAGAATCAGAGAATTGAGCCCCCTAAAACACAACCAATTCCATCCGAGCCCTGATATGCTAATGGTAGCACCTTCTCCCCTACACTCATGTGGATCTGCTAATAAGAACATTTTAAATCCTTGTACTTGTCTTATTTAAATGATGTTAATTTCCTTAACCTATTTTTGTTACTAAGTATTATCCTAAAATTAAGTGCAAATTTTTAGGGAGCACTTGTATTTTTTTGCTATTGTTGGTATAACAAATCCTATGCAAGCATATGAATAAATTATACTAACAGCTTAGTTTTGTGTAATGTGTGTTTTGCAACTATTATGGGTAAGGACTATTACATGTGTATGTATGTGTCACTTATATTTCCATGTGCAAGAATCTTTATTCTTTTTTTTTTTTTTTGGTGGGACTGGGGTTTGAACTCAGGACTTTGTAGTTGCAAAGCAGGCACTCTACCACTTGAGCCACACCTCCACTCCATTTTTGTTCTAGTTATTTTAGAGATGGAGTCTCTCAAACTATTTGCCCAGCCTGGCCTTGAACTGCAATCTTCCTAATCTCAGCCTCCCAGATAGCTAGGGTTACAGGCATAAGCCACAGGTGCCTGTCTTTATTCCTTTCTTATATGTGGTAATAACATTAAATGGGTAGCTGAGCAAAATCTGTTCAATTTCAGGTTAGCAGGCCCATCCCTTGGGTGTCCTCTCAGCTATGCATTGTTCTCTGACTCTGGGATGAAAATGAGTTACTAAGGACAGTTACACATGTTCCAAACAAGCCCTAACACTGTGAGGTCAATGTCCTAAGAGCCACTTCTATGCATTCCCACAGGTTCTGGGTACCCCCATTAGGGCAAACTCTGGGGTCAGCTCTGAGAGACAAGCCACTTCTCAGTTATTACACCCTGAGGGTGAAACCCCAGCCATGCTTGTCTCTGCCACCAGAAGCACTTCTCCTCCACCTGTTTTTACCATGGTTAGCAGACTTGAAAACAACAGGTGAAAATGGAAATGTCCATTTCAATAAGTCTCAGTGGAGTGTTCCAAAGAAGCCCAAATAGGAAGCAAAAAAAACCTAGCGACAACACAGGATGCCCCGGTGGAAGTAGCACAACAACACGTACCAACTGTTTCAAGATAAATTTACCAGAGTTTGCTGGTTGTGAAATGTCCCATTTTGTCTGAGAAAGAAAAGACAGGTTTTGAGGTTCCATAAAATATATACCTTTATGAGCTACAGGTGCTATGGTTTGAATGTGTCTCCAAAATTCCATGTGTCAGAAACTTAATCCAGAACACAACAGTGTTGAGAGGTGGGACTTTAAGAGATGATTGTTCATGAGGGTTCTGCCCTCAGGAATGTGTTAGGGAGTGAGTTAGTTATCAGGAAAGTAAGTTCCTAACCAAAGGATGAGTTTGGCTTTTTGGCTTGAGTCTCTCTCTCTCTTTCTCTTTCTCTCTCTCTCTCTCTCTCTCTCTTTCTTCCCCTTCCTCCCTCCCTCACTCCTCACTCATGATTTCTGATTCTTAATAGTTGCATTTCTTATTTTAATTAGTAATTCTCCTACCTGATGGGCCCATCCACTTATTAATGCACAGATAGGAACTGAATGACTGATTATTACATCACATTAACTGGAACTACAATAGTGAACCTGGTAGTTATGGTCTTTGTCTTCACAAGAACTTTATGGGGTGAACTGACAAGCAAATCAGCAAATATAATAGTGTGGTGATGAGGGTGGATAGGAGACAGCAAAACAACAAATATAATAGTGTGGTGATGAGGGTGGATAGGAGACAGCAAAACAACAAATATAATAGTGTGGTGATGAGGGTGGATAGGAGACAGCAAAACAACAAAGTTGAAGGAAAAGTAGTCCAATGAT